GAAATTGGTAAGCACTGAAAGGAGAACCAGAAGTAGATAAAGGAGAGACAGAACTATCAGGCTGTAAAGATCCTAACTGACCACTGGAAATCTGGCACGCTAAAGCTGTTTCTGTTAAGTATTGGTTTCATACTAAACAATATCTTCAAGGTTCCTCTTTTGAATATGATCTATTTTTTTTTAAAAAAATTGTTGCTTATTAGGTTATAGCAAAAGCAACAGAGATTGCTGAGTGAATTTATAATGTAACTAAATGCTTCCTAGCCATTAAAAATCCAACCCCCCTTTTAGCATTATAGGAAAGCACATGGTAACACATAATAATTAATGAAGTTAACTATGCAAAAAAAAAAAAAAAACCCAAAAAACCAAACAAACAGAAAAGGCCAAGTGCATAACTTCATGAGTTCCTACTGTTTCAGCAGAAAGCTACTGGTTTTTGAGTTCTAAATAAAGTGGTTACTTGGATAAAGAAAACACGATACTTCAGCTACACTACTTGTAATGTACATTTTTTTTAAAAAAAATCCTCATACACTATTCAGAGCAGTATTTCTTAAGAAGATAAATGGCTGAATATCCTGAAGTATCATATTAGTCACACATATGTCTGGAGGTAAGTACAGCAGGTATTAATGTTACAATAGTGCAAGATATAAACATTACAGCGATGAGCTTACAAAAACAATGTATTATTTGAAGTTACAGAAAGCTAAGGTATATATTATAAGCTATTAGCATAAAACCTCCTTAGGCTGAATTGTGTATACTACACTGATATAAGTTCACATAACTGCACAATTTGGTACAAAGTTTGGTACACATATTCAAGTAAAATACAAACTCTATCCTCCCTAGAGATTAATCATTTTTGTGGTTCTCTGGATCATGCCTATGGAGCAGTGCACTTTTTGTTTGCAAAGACTTCTTTTTGCCTGCAGCCTTTTTTGGTTCAGAGCTAATTCAAGATACTGATATGTATATACCCTACCACATTGTCTACTCTATCTCACAAATAAAAACTGATGAACAAAGATATACTACAGGCTAAAATTTTTGGCATAAGATACACAATAATTTACATCTGATCCAAAAAGTAATCTGAAATACAAATTCAAGTAAGTATCTTTACACTTTTTCATTACCTGATTCCCCACCCCTCTTGTTTATAAAATTAATCACAGCTAGCAGGGTAGAAATTGCTGTGAGCTTCATGAATGACATCCAAGAGATGGGAAAGGATTAGTTCGTAGTTGCTGCCAGTTATAGCTCCAGGTGGCTTTTTCTGCAGTGAAGGTGTTAGCAATAATCCCATTACACTGATACTAAATCTTGCAGACATCAAAATTATCACCAAGGTTCCTTTTCATCCCATCCTTTCCAAATGACTGGAAGTCGCTTCACCTGAAAGAAGTCAAATCCACATGCAGCTGCTGTTTTAGCAGCCAGCAGACTCCCTGAGAATGCCAACCGTGATCCAATTTCACTGTGCTGGTGGCCCCTATTCCCTGTCCAATAATACATCTGTTAAAAAATCCTACAGCTACAAATCAAGTTTAATCCTACTAGGGACCTCATGTTGGTCTTGTCTTCCAAAAAGGCAGCAGGTTCTGCTGTCTATCTCTGCTAGTGTCTGGGGAATACCCTTTAAATCCCAACCCTACTTAGAAGAATAAGCTAAGGATCACAAAACATGACCTTAAAAACCCTGATATGACTATATTCTGACCCAGAGGCATTCATACTAGGTGAAGATTAGAACTTTGCATAATAAGATTACACAGCAAGTGAATGATATCAAGGGACTATCCATATGCAGCCGCCTGGTTTTCTATAGACAGCCTGTGCTCTGCAATATGCAGCCCAGAGAAACAGAGCTTCAGCTTTCTAGCTGATGTAAAATAGATTCACATAAATTAGTTGCCCATTTCCAGATTCCTAAATCCCCTATTACATCTTTTATTGACAGCTCCTGTGAGGATAGCACAATCATTATTCCTTTTTTGTTGTGAGGTTCTGAAACAATGGCACTCTCTAAGTGATACGTACATAGACTGCAAGTGGAAATTAACATCTTGTTTGCTATAATCTTCGACTACAACTGACAATGCACATAATAAAGGCAGGAATCTAGGGATAGGTTTATCCTCTTCCTACGAGCAAAGCTTTGTTGAATTCAATAAATCATGTAAGAGAAGAATTTTAAAATGCTGCCATTTATGCAGGCACAGAATGAGCCAACAGGGGAAAAATATGATGTTTATCAATGAAAAACACAATGAAGGAGATCAAAGAAATATTTTTTCTGATTTAGTATACACTGAAAGCCAACCTATTAATGAATTATGTTTGCTATGGCCAAGGACATGGATAAATATCCTAATAATTGTGAGCTTTTAATATCTTTTATCCTGTTCAAGGTAATGTAACACAAATACACCCCCCCCCAATATAACTGAAGTTGTTTTCTTGTTAATATATTCCAACCTGCATATAAATATTTTAATTGCACATTCTTTATGCTTGTGAGTTGTAGATTTTAAAACACACATTTTTTCTTAAATAAAAAAATTGAGTTTTAAATAAATAGAAAAGCAAATTCTGTATATGTGCAAAACATTATAATCAAATAATTCCTCTCATTTGGGCTACCAAATTTTCATATTTTAGAATTCACCAGATCTAAATCTTTATATGTCCTGTATCATCATAATTTACTCACACAGGCTAAATATACACTGCAAGAGAACAAATATTAACCAAGGTTGCACTCTTACTGCAAAATTTAGAGTCATACAAAAATCATTTTACAGAGTCTAAACAGGAAATAGAAGCAAATCCAAAATGTAACTACATAAATGCTGATTTCAGAATTCTTAATGGATTCACTAAAAACCAGGATTTGGTATGTATTTGCCCCAAGTTGTCCTCTCGTCTGGCTTTCTGAAATCTTTGTTGTTATTGTGTACACCTTCAAGTCTTTTTCAACTTATGGCAACTCTAAGGTGACCCCATCACAAAGTTTTCTTGGCAAAAAATTTTCAGAGGGGGTTTGCCTTTGCCTTCACCTTCCTGAGGCTGAGAGAGTGTGACTTGCCATGGTCACCCAGTGGGTTTCCATGTCTGAGTGGGGATTCAAACCCTGGTGTCCAGAGTCCCAGTCTAGTGCTCAAACCACTACACTACACTACCACCAATGTAATTACTGACATACATAAGTAAAGAGTACAGTAATAATATTTAAATGAAATCCTTGAACACAGACTGCTTAACTCAGAACTAAAGAATCAGGATATGAAGCACATTTCATTTACTGTTTCTCTGGGAATTTCAATTCTGAAAGCTGAACATGGAGGAGGGGCACATATGAAAGATGTGGCACCCTTCTGCATGTGGAGAGGTCTGCTTCTACTTTATTAAGGTTGAGCTGAATGTTCATTCATGTACTTTAAGGTTTGAAAAGACCCCTAAATGTTTCAGAGTGGGCTCTGTGGCAGCAGTTTCTTCAAGCTAAAATGTCATCTCTCACTTCCATTCACCTTTTCCTCCCCAGAAGACCATGGATTCATGATGCCATATAATGCCCTTATATGCAATACTGTGGGCAGCTATGGTCATTATATCTCAAAAAAAAAATACTGTCAAGCTCAAAAAGTATAGAAAGCGGCAGGCAAAATGATGAAGAGGCTGGAGGAATGGTTACAATATCTGGGGCTCTTCAGGAAGGAGAGAAAGCAACTAACAGGAGACAAGATAAAAACAGATGCAATTATGCACTGCATGGATGATGTGGATATGGTGACTTTTTTCCCTTCTCTTGTATTAGAAGCCAGGGCAAAACCATAGAAACTAAATGCTGGGGGACACAGGGCAGTTAAATGGAAGTATATAATCATAATGCAGTTACACTGTGAATTTACTACCACAAGGCATCATGACAGCCACCAGCTTGGAGAGTTTTAAAAGGGGATTAGACGAGGTCATGTGCGATAACAGTATCAAAGGCTTCAGAGACATAGTTGCACTAATCTGGAATATGAGTATGCAGGGATCTTGTAGCACCTTTGGGACTAACTGCGCAAAAGAAGTTGTAGCATAGGTTTATGTAGATACTTCCTTAGATGCATGGAGTGTAAACTATGATGATTACATATTACTTCGATAGCAAAGGAAGCACACCTTGAACATCAGTTGCCGAGGAACAATGATGCCATGCTCTTGAAATTCCCAGAAACAGCTGGTTGGTCCTTCTTGAAATAAAATGCTAGCCTAGATAGGTCTTTGGTCTGATCCAGCATAACTTCTCTTAAGATCCTATAATGCAGTGCTGTACTGAGGGAGGGGCAGATAGCAAGAGACTGGCTGACTCCACAAAGAATCTGACAGCAGGGCTGATACGTGTTTACACCTTTAAGAAGCCAATACCAACAACAGTAAGCACCCATAATTTAAAATGTTTAGGCTGTGCACTCAAATTTCTTGTGAGAGGTAGAGCAGAACATTTTTGCTTAGACCTACACAAATTTTATTCGGATTATCCTGGACCAAAGTAATTTTCGGTAAGTAGAAACTTTGTGGAGGTACAAAATGTCACAGTCACTTAAAGGACATTGTGTAAATTTTATCAGAATTTTTAAATTACCTGAAAAGCCAAAAAAAAAAAAATGAAGCGAAAGAGAGATTCTGTCCATTGCAGCTTGTTGTTCTGTGCCCTGGAATCTCAACAGCCAACAGAGCTTTCATACATGCTAGGGCTTGCTTAGTGGCTGAAGTGACAAGTTTACTGCTGTCTATGCATTTTCATAGGACATGCAGAATTGCTATAATAGAAGTTAAAAGGAAGCCCACACTCTGGGGGACTCCATGCACATAAAGAAGCAAATGCAAACTCTGAGTTGGAGTCATGACACATTGTTCTTCTGCTGTCTAAATTTCTATGTTGTTATCTTAATAGAGTGTTGTTGTTGTGTGCCTTCAAGTTGCTTCTAACCTATGGCAACTGTAAGGTGAACAAGGTTTTCTTGGCAAGATTTGTTCCAAGGGTTTTTTTTGCCTTTGCCTTCCTAGCCTACACAAAAACTCAAAACTTATACTGACCACTTCTGTATTGCCTGACAGAAATATGTATAAATTGCACCAATTTATATTTTATAGGTAGAGAAACACGCTAACAAATTTTGCAGCTATCTATATGGCACAATTACTCTATTTTTATATAAACTTTTTAGATCTATTGTTCTATCCAAAATACATTTCTTGAAAGAAAGTCCTGTTGCTTTCAGTGAAACTTTTTTCTTCATTAAAAACTGGGATGCTTAGGACCAGAGGGATAATGAATGGATTCCCAATGGAGAATTAATACTGCATTGTATTATGTCTTGAATAACTGCAAATACACACACACACACACACACACACACACACACACACACACGGCTATTGTGTTCTTGTGACAAACAACAGAAATCAACGTTTTATCACATGCCTGTCTTTTACTATATTTTTGGAGAAGCAATAAAAATACAATTTTCCAAACATGAATAGATGAGTGCAATGATATTCAGTCTAAGTTAATCCCCAGACATCTAAATCCATGAATAAAAATTCATCAGGTTTAAATACACTGAGCCTATTAAGCAAGAACAAAAGCATATGCACAAAAGAGCTTTTAATATATTTCAAAGCCCACAAGAGCCACGGTCTCATTAAAATTATAAATTACTCAAACATGGAATGAAGATTCAAACTGCAGTGCAGCTAAGCAGATTACAGAAAACCTCGCGTTCCATATGATAACACACCATGGCCCTCCCAGATGGGGGCTTGGAACAAAAAAGGGCATCACTGCAGCTAGGGAAAACCACCTTGTGATCTCTGGTTTCTGTTCAGCAGATGACAGCCAAATAATGTTGATTATTCTGTTTGTGCTCGTAAGCTTGTAAGACGGCATAAAAGTGATATGATCTATTGTGAACTCAATGCTAATGTGTTGCTCCACTCATAAGTGATATTTTAAATGTATTTGGAAACAATCTTTTATCTTTTAGTCCCCACTTTTTAAATGCATGAAATAAAATAAAAGGCAGCACAAACATTAAAATTTTAAATAAGAGGGGGTGGGGGAGCTGGCATATCCCAAAAAAGTGAACCTCAGTCACAGCTTTATGAAGCCAGAAGTCATCTTTTCATTAGTGACTCTCGATCAAACCCTTTGTAAGGCACGTCAAGTACACACATCTTTTTCCCCATTTTAGTACTGGTGCTTAAATATCAGAGATCTGAATTTAAAGCTGTAAACATCCTTAATTTTGAATGGTCATTAAAATGTATTTATGGAATCTAGAACATTTATGCAAGAGGGGAAAACTTAGGGCCTTTGCAGACTGCCAGAAATAGTGCAAACTGAGTCCACTTTTAGGGTTAGGGTTAGTGCTAGGGAATCATGGGAATTGTTTTTTTCCTGAGACCTTGAGCCTTTGTCAGAGAGCTCTGGTGCCACAATAAAATACAGTTCCCATGATTCCCTAACCCTAACCATTAAAGTGGACTCAATTTGCACAGTGTGCAAAGGCCCTTCGGTATCTTCATTATATATAACTGTTTTATAGCAGTAAAGTTATGCATGATAAAGATGTCTAACTTTTTGTCCATCATATAAAGTTTCTATCCTTACAGAAACAGATAAACTTCAAATAATTAACCAGACTTCCGAAGCAAAATGGAGTTTGACTCATAACATATTTGTTAAGAGTATGGAATCTGGCATGTCAAAGGCCATAAAGGAAGCTGGGGTCGTATTTAAGTAAATGCCATTCTAAAGAACTACTGACCTCTTCCACATCGTTTCAAAATGTTAATGAGCAAAAGAAAAAGGATTCACAGATGTTTCATATTTCCAGTCAGCTGCACTTGGTACACACATATGCAACTTGTGTCTTTGGCTAAAACAAAATAGACGTGAAGTGTATTTTGAATAATAAGTTAAGTTACTAAATGATATGTAAATTAATTCCTTCAAATCTTTGCTGAAATCTCACCTTTTCCAGGGAGAAACTAGAATGGCTTTCTATCCCAACAGCCTATTACAACTAAAATGAGGAACATATTACTAAAATAATCACATAATCTCAATCTGTTTACCCTTGCTTCTATATTTATCCCCCTTTTTGTTTATCACACTAAGAAACTCCCACAATTGAGTTCACAAACCTAATAAGCGTTTCATTATACTTATTTTGTGCTCATCTTTGTATTTTTAACAAATTTGACAATTACTGATAAATGTTATGGTAACAGAACAGAGTTTTTCTAGCTCATCCTTCCTTTGCAGCCCGCTACAAGAGTACACACCTTGAAAAATCCACTCTTTTGGAGAACCTCCATCTGCAAATAAAGTGTTAGACAGTTGAGGGGTACAATATGAATGGAGCAAAGTAAGAAAAAATATTGCATGCTTTGTGAGTCTTTTCATTTGAAGGCATATTTATAAAGTGCTCCAATAAAGAAAGAAATAAAATGAAATCAAATCTGTCTGAAATCTAGCCCAATCCTTTAGCATATTTACAAAATACCTTCCCACCCCCCAAAAAAGCCTGGCTAATTTCAGTAGAATTTACTTTCTAAGTATAGGTAGACCTAGAGAGAGAGAGAGAGGATGGTGTAGCTGTTTTGAGCACTGAACTATGAATTTGGTAATGCAGAGTTTGAATACCCATTCAGCCATGAAAAACCACTGGGTGATCTTGGGCAAGTCACACTTTCTCAGCCTCAGAGCAAGGCAAAGGCAAACCCTCTCTGACCAAATTTTGCCAAGAAAACCCTTGATGGATTCTTAAGGTTGCTGTAAGTCGGAGATGACTTGGAGGCACATAACAGTAACGACAGGGATTTGGAAAGTGGTGGTAGGGCTCTGGGGAACAAAGAAGCCAGTACCACACTGCCTCAACTGCTAAAAACAATCCTTTAATAGTTTTGCCCCAGGGTCATAGTAAATCGGATATGATCTGTAGGTACACAACAAATAGGATATTATTAGTCAATAATAATACAACATTTATTGTAACATGGTCATGTCTCTATAAGTCAGAAATGACTTGAAGGCACACAAGAACAACAACAACAGTAGTTAGGACTGCAGCCTTCATGGAGTTGATGCTTTTCCTTGATTTATTAAAGTTTTGTATTACTAATAG